AAATTTTATAATTGTTTAAGAATTTTGAATTTGTGTCATAGAATGAAAAAATGAATTGTGTCATAGAATTTGAATTTTGAATTTGCTCATGATTAGTAACTGATACCAACTCACCACTTTGAAATGATACTTATTGAATTAATAAAAATTATATGATGATATGAATGGAATTATCTGACATACTTTGTTCAACTGGGTGAAAGAAAATATTAGTTTTATTTTTCTCTTTTACACGAAGACATTAATATATTTAAGTAATGTTTTAAAATTATGAAATAATTTTCTTTGGTTAATGATTGGTTTTAAACCATCTTCTAGAAGAAAAAGAAAAAAGAAAAAAGAATTGGATTCAGTCATTCTCAAGCTAAAAGTATGTTCTAATATTATGTATTAAATAATGTATTTATGTAATGTTTTAAAATTATTTTTTAAATATTCCCAATCTGTCGGCTCTGTGCAGTTTTCTTTTGGTACAAATTCTGTTTTTATTTATTTATTTATTTATTTTGGGAAGAAATTTTATAATTGTTTAAGAATTTTAAATTTGTGTCATAGAATGAAAAAATAAATTTGTGTCTAAGAATTTGTGTCTTAGAATTTTGAATTTTGAATTTGCTCATCATTTGTAACTGATACCAACCCACTACTTTGATATGATACTTATTGAATTAATAAACATTATATTATGATATCAATGGAATTATCTAACATACTTTCTCCAACTAGGTGAAAGAATATATTAGTCTTTTTTTTTCTCTTTTACACGAAGACATTAATATATTTAAGTTAAAACATGTATTAAAGCAATGTTTTAAAGCAATGTTTTAAATATTCTCAATGATTGTTTCTTTTTTTTGTATAAATTATGTTTTTAAGTATTTATTTTGGGAATAAATTTTGTAATTGTTTAAGAACTTCGAATTTGTGTCATAGAATGAAAAAATGTAAAATTTGTTTTATTAATCTTGTTATTGGAATTATTTTAGTTTTCAAATATCACTTAGATTACTTTTGAAGTAAAATAATTTCTGAGTTAAATACTTGATTGTAATTGGCAAATGGTAGTGATTTACTTTTCTTTCTTTTTTTTCTTTTTTTTTTTCCAGTGACACTGTCAAAATTATTAGCATCAGCTAATAAGTCTGTGGCTGTCACGAAGAAGTGGGGCCACCCTATAGACGCGCCCGCGGTGGGACCTCGTGCTACAGTTCGGACTCGATTTGTGTCACGGTTCTTAATCTGAACCAAAGAGTCCAAATCTGGCAAATCGTTTTGAGAAAACAGATTTTTTTTGAAAAAGTAGTGCCAAACATGGACTGCTTTGCCAGATACAGAGTCGCCACCTAAATATTTTTTAAAATGGGGAAATTTAGGAAACCCTGACTCGGTGCCGAAGGCCACATGTCCGTCATCACCGGAGTTGTCTCGGCTCGGGAGCTTGGGTACGATCGGGGAAGGTCAGCTATGAGCACCCCCTTTCGCCCGGTCCGAAGACCGGCCTCTACTAACCATGATATCCGATTTTGAAAATGCTATGTGTTCTTAAACCAATTATTAGCCTAGCGTTTACTATGTTATGCGTGCAGCAAACAAGTATAGACTAGATTGCCTAATTTGGAAAGAGACATTGCATATCCGTTTGTTTTGAAAATGCTTTAAAATTTGCTACTCGCAAGTAGGCTAAAACACGGATTTCAATGAGTTTTTTCCAACTCAAACAATCTAACCTTCATTTGCTACTCGCAAGTAGGCTAAAATGCGGATTTCAACGAGTCTTTCCAACTCAAACAATCCAGCCTTCACCCACAGGCATTCAAAACAGTTTAACACATAAGCATCTAGCCATATGTTAAGCATGCTGACATGGCAACATTCACACTCATGTGATATGCTAAAGCGGAAATACTTACATAGTACTCCGTGCCAAAACAAAGAACTTGTTAGCAAACATGCATGATCCAAGTCCATGTTAAGTGCCTAATGCATCGCATACAAAATGTCGCTAAGATAGGCTCGGCTAACCTAGGTATGTCATGTGAAAATGCACAATTATCACATATTCAGTTTGGAATTTGAAATACATATGCAATTAGCGTGATGTACCGAGCCTAATGCATGTAATACAAATGCATGAATGCACACATGCATAGCATAAGGTATGCTAACTTAAACGTGCCCTAATCTACCATCGTAAGATGTGACCTTTTACTAACCATCAAAGCAGGTAAGTAAAAGAGAGAAAGAAATGGGGGTTGGAAGACATGCACCCACCCACACACACTTATTACAGACTTACCCTCGCTCGGAGGGACCGAATAAATATGTTAAATTAATTAACTACGCAAGCTAATTAAATATTACAAATTCACTTATTACAGATTTGCCCTCGCTCGGAGGGACCGAATAAATATTAAATTAAATAGACTAAGAAAAACTAATTAATATTACAAATTGCCTAATTTAATTAACAAATTAAATAGACTAAGAAAAACAGTAAAACGCTTCAAGAAGCGCGCTGCCATGCGCAAGCTGCCTCTGTTTTCCTTCCTTCACTCCTCTGGAGGTTGTCAAAACCTCAGGATTGCTCCCTTGGACAGAGAGGATCACCACCGGCTGAATGAAATTGCCACCGGCAGTGTGGTATGGCCATCGGCACAAAATTGAATCTGTCGGCAGAGAAAATTGTGCCGGTCGGCACATTAAACTGCCGGTCGGCAGAGTATTCCTGCAGAACCTGCAACTCACAGCAACAGAGGGCAAAACAAGGCATGGCAGCATAATTCAAGGCATGTATGCACCAACCATGTCCCTTATCATGATAATGACTCAAAGGGTCGGTTCTCGGGCCACCAATCACGTATTTCCATGCATGATGGCCCAAAGAACCAAGTATGCAACTTTGATATCAAATGCATGCAAACCAATCAAACAAATTAGGCCCAATTCCTATCACCAATTCAAGGAACAAGGCATGTATGCAAGATGCAATGCAACCTAGGCATACAATCTAAGAATGCAACATGGCATGGCAAGGCACTTATGCAAGCGTACAAGCATACATATGGCAATGCAAATGTATGGAAAGATGGGCTTATACATGAATTAGGCAACTCTAATAAGGCCTAAAACAGTGGCCATAATGACCAAAACAAGAAGCCAAAACACATGCACACATACACATGATGGAAGGCCTACACTTGGGCACAAATCA